GGACCGTTCTCCGTAGCCCCAACCCCAGCAAGTGACATTGGGTGATGATTGGGTTGCAGTTGTGGCTCCTTTGGAGGTTGTTTCTGATTCCCCACAGTGGAGGTGTGCCCCGTGGATTCTGGGACTTTTTTCTGGCTCCCGTCTGGGAGTGCAGCAGGAGGAGCTGTGCCAGCCCAAGTACTTGCATGCTGTCAGCTGCCTGTCCCCTTCTACCCCCAAACCACTCATCCCAGTATGAGGGCTGCAGCCAGCTCAGCTCTGACATTTATTAACAGAGGGGCTTTGAAACCAGGCAGGCTGCTCCTGCAAAGGCTCCTCACTGCAACTCCGTCTCCTCTCGCCAGCCCATCTGAAGCAATGGCTGCTGGTGTTGAAATTCATTAGTGCTCCCTGACAGGCGATGGAGGCTGGCTCTGTCTGTTCCCACTTCCCTGCTCTCATGTCCCCGCTTCACGCACGCTGATATTTAAAGCTGATGTGCAGCTCGTAGGCTTGTTGCACTGTGACAAGTTTGGGGGTGGCTGAGAGAAACTGAGAAGGTGGAAGGAAGGCAGAGCGAGATGGGGGGGAGGAGGGAGGGAGAGAAGGCACCTGTCTCAGGGTTTCTGCAAGAGCCTGGGGCTTCTCAGACCCTCTCCAAATGTATTGTCTTGGCACAGCTGCTGCTTGTGAAGTGCAGTGATGGAGGCAGAGGGATGGAGGCACAGGGAAGGCAGTCACCTGGCAGGGGTTCCTCCGGTCCCTTGACCAAACCCATTCCAGCATCTCCACTGCGGGTTCCCATGCTCCTTCAGCAGAGGATTTCCAGGGCAGAAGAATGCTTGCCCTCTCCTTGGCAGCTCAGTGCAGAGAGGTTGACTGGGCCACAATTAAAATGTTCTGCATCTCTTCCAACTCAGGGTCTCCAGTGCATGATTTTTCTTTTTTTTTTTTGAAAGCTGCAACCAGGTCTATAAATATCAAGATTTAATGTCCCTTTATCTTTCCCAAAGAGGGACTTATTCTTTAAACTGGCTCAATATCAATACACCCAGTGTGTAGAAAGTGGCCCAATTTCTTTGTCTCCTGACATCTTGAACCCAGAAGCAGATGGACGTTAACCAGCTCTGATGAGCTGGGAGAATCAAGCATTAATTTTTTATACGCGAGGACCACCTGAGTGACGGAAATCAATTATGGCCAGCCCTCCCCTTCCATATTAATGTGGTGGCTCTGAGCAGAGGCGGAGGAACCTGTTGAAATGAGAAACCCCTATTTCTTAGTTTGACCCCCTAGATAATTAGGGTTAAATTGATATGCTATCGCACCAGTGACACATTTTATCTGCCTCTGTTTGTACAAGAGGATACAATAGTGGAGGAAGGACCAATTTGTGCCCTGCTCTAGCTAACCAGACCGAGATAAAAGGTGTCACTAGTACGATAACGTTCTTGCCTCACGCTCCTTTATTGTTGCTCAATTTGCCTTTTTTTTTTTTTTTTAAATCCCATTCTCTCTTACTTTCAATACCCTTGGTCATATTTTAACTCCATGCCATCGCATAATGATGCCCTGCTAAATGTGTGTGGAGATAGGCAACTCTGGCTGACAGCCTTCCCCGATAACCGAATTCCAGCCCATCCATCACTAGGCTGCTCTCCTTAACTTAAGGGAAGTGATAACTAAAGCAAGGCCGTTTATCACCACTGAGCTGTGTGCTTCTCACTGGCTTCAGTGGGAAGAATGCAGCCAGGTGACCTCACTTTCCGTTTACATCCCGTTCTTCTCTAGCCCCCATTTACCCCACAGCGTGAAGAGGACCGGGGCTGGGTGGAAATCAGAGTCTGGGGTGAGGGAGCTCTCTGAAAATGGAATTGCAGGCTTAAGCAGAACTGCATTGGAGGCTAAAGGATCCTGCAGCCATTTTCAGGCTTCTCACTGGCACGTGCCTGAAGCACAGTCGTTGGCTGGTGAAATTGTGTGGAGAGGAGGCAGTGAGTCTTCATTCAGAAGCTGGAAGCATGGTGGGACCTTTGTTGTTCACTTGCTGTCAAGGGAAGCAGAGGAGTCTCCATCCCTGGAAGTATTTCAGAGATATATGCATGTGACACTGAGGAACATGGTTTGGTGATGGGATTTGGCAAGTTGGGTTGACGTTTGTACTTGATGGTCTTGAAAGTTTTCTCCAGCCTTGATGACTCTGTCATACTGTATCCTGAGCTATTTGCTTGAGCACAGCTGTTCTACTGATAAAGATTGAATTTTGCTAAATGAGGATCATATTGAGCATAAGGCCTGTTTGCAAAAAGATAGAATAATTTGAATTGGAAGGAATCTTTAAAGGCCATCTAAGTCTAACTCCTCCACAATTGAACAGGGTCACCTACAGCTAGATCAGGTTGCTCATAGCCTGGTACAGCTTGGTCCAAATGAGCTGCTTGAATCAAGAGTGATCCTAATAAATGGAGATGCATTCTTAAAGGCCGTGGCAGTTTTATTTCCCAGGAGAGCCACAGGTTTGCCATGCCCATTCCAACATGGAGAAGATGATGGAGAAACTGCTGCCTGGTCCCCAGGCTGGGGAGCACGGACCCACTGCAGGTGACAACCTTGAAGCTAGGAGTGCTTTTCTGGATCATGCCTTCTGTGTAGTGAGAACCCCCAGATCCCCATGTCTATGCTGAGAGTTCTGCAGCCCTAGACTATGTCAGAACACAGGGCTGTACTTTGGTAAGGGCAAGATGCTCAGGGGCTGTCTCCCTGATAGCCTGGGGCCACCTGACCTGAATCTTTCTGCTCAGGAAGTGGAGGCTGGAAACCTGCCCAGGTTATGGTATGAATATGGAGCTGCCAGTGCTTTAAAAACTTGGTAAAGTCTCTCTGGTGCTAATGTGAAATGAGGGGAGCAGAAGCATAGAGGGGGAGGGGGAATGTCCTTAGGTCACACAGTTCCACAGCCAGTTTCTGGGGTTGTTACTTGTTTGCAAAAATGGGTCATTTATTTAGTTGACATATTTATTTGGAACATTTATTTTCTCCAATTAAAGCCCCGCTGTCCAGCGCCCTGGGCTTACTGCCATCAGTCTCAGGATGGGAGAAGAACCAAGCTGTCCTGTTTCCTATCCCTTCTGGTCCCACGGGGATGGAAATGCTTTGATCTCATTCATTGCACTGGGTGGTTAGCTGTCACTTCGTGTGGCTGACAAGAATGGTTCTGTTCTGGCTTGTCCTAGGCCCTGTCCAAATGTTAGGTGAGATGAGAATTATTCCTCTAGCTGGAGCCAGGTTGAAGGTTGTATTAATGAAGATTTCTTGGGCTGAGAGGGGAGACTGTTTAGTAACACATTTCTTACTAACTGCTCTTGTGGTCCTCTCCAGCTAAAGTGAGCAGTCCCAGAGGTTGAGCTGATTTCATTTATTTGTTTGACCCATCGTTTATTTGAGATAGTTCCTTTTCTTGTGATGTTTTTTCAGTTGGCCCCCATAGAAAGCAGCTTTCCTAAGATGCTGGTTGAGCTTGGTTATGTCTGTTCAGCTCTGGAATGTCATGGACATGGATAATAGCTGCCAAGTGCACAGAGCAGGCTGACTTTTATGTGATGGCCATGCAGTTATGATGGTACTGGCATTAGATAAGCTGTGCCAAGAGATGAGAGCATGCTGTCAGGTTGTGTTGCTTACCTTGCAGATCGCCTTGGTTCTGCTGCTGTAAGCTCATTCTTTTGACAGAAGAGATTCTTATGGACCTCTTTATTTAAATGTTTCTGTATAGCTTAAATTGCAACTCCTAAGTGGGGCTATGTGTGTCTTTACAGGACCAGGTGCTTGGTTTTAACACAGTCTGTCCCTTCCTCATCCTAAGCAAGCTCACAAAGGCAGCGCACTGCTGGGTCTGGGCATGGCGGCTGCATTGGTCACGTATTTCTGGGAGATTCCTCTGAGTATGTTTGCCAGCTTTTGTCCTTTTCTCCCTTTAGGAATTTAGGTAGCACCATACCTTTGGTGACTGTGATACACAGAATCTCATGTTCCGCACAGATGTGCTGTCTGCATCCCCCCTTGGTTTCTTCATAGTTCAGCTGCTCTAGATCTGAAGGAATGCTACCCTGGAAATCAGAGGGCTTGGAGCTAGGCTGAGCTCTTAGCTACCTTACAGTGTCTGATGGTGCACTCAGCTCAGAATTTGTTCCTGAATTTCAGCTCTGAATCTCAAGTCTAGTCTGGGTTCTCCATGTTTTGCCCTGGACAGATGTGTGCTGAGATGCTGGGGCAGCTGATGCTGGCACTTGCAGCTCTTCCCTCCTCCCCTGCAGTCCCCACATGTTTAAGGAAGTTGTGAGATTTCCCCGCCCCCTCTGTTTGCAAAAGCCAATTCCTGGGGTTGTGGCTTTTAACATGCACAAATGAGTCTAATTTAGTCATTTATTTAGTTGACATATTTATTTGGGATGTTCCTTTGCTTCAGTTAAAGATCCTGTGACCAGTGCCCCAGGCATGCTCAGCAGTACGTGAATGAACAAGATCCATCAATTACTCCTGATTGGATCAAACCGGCTGGGGAGGACTCCTATAACTCATCTCTTGCACAGCTGGAGCCCCAGTTTTGCTTCTCAGCCTTCTCCATCGATGGGCAGAGCAGGGTTCTCTGCCTGGCTGGCATTATGCAGAAGGAGCCGCTTTTCAAATCCAGGGCTCTTGGTGTCCCTCTGCTCCCATACAGTGAGCCCTGTTGGCAGAGGTTAAGCATTCATGCTTGCAGGTCTGGCCACTGCTTCTCAAACCTGCAGTGGGAGAGTCTGCAGCTCTTCGTGTCTTCAACCTGGCTGTGGCTGGGTGCATGTCAGGCTTCAGCCAAGCCGTGCTCTCGTGAGGTTTGTTTGCTGCTGTCCTTTCTGATGTGCAGTCTGCTGCTGCAGGCTGGAGGGGCTCTTCCATCTCAGAGTGAAATGTGTTTAATAAAACAGAGTTTGTGTTGTCAGGACAGTAATTGAATCAAACCTGCTCTCTCTTCTCTCTTACAGGTTACCAGGACAATGCCAGTACTTAGGGCTGCCGGTTGCTGATTACTTCAAACAGTGGATTAATCTGAAAAAGGTACTTTTGTGCAAGCTGCCATGGTCTCCGTCTTCCCTCTCCCCCCCTCTCCCCCCTTTTTCCTTCTTTCCTCTTAAGGAGGTGTCTAATAACTACTGCTGTTTTGCATTGAAATGAGTTATTTTCTCAGAAGCTGGTCTCAGCAAGTCCTCTGACTCCCTATTGTATCTCCTCTAATAGAGTCTTACTGTACTTGATGGGATATGTTCTGCAGCTGGGGAGAATCCCATTGTGGCAGCACAGTGCAGTGTCTCCATGTAATAGTGGGACGCTGCAAGGCCTCTCACCAGCAAAGGTTTTGTTGATCCCAGTGCTGCTCACTCTGTTTGCAGCCATGTAAGGCTCCAAGGAGCATGGCTTCCTTCTGATAAAATTCTGGTTGATAATTAGCAGTGGGCAAATATGCTGGTATAAAAATGAGCATTTCCCTTCATGCTGTGCTATCTCAGTAGCATGTCCACCCAAGAGACCAGTGATCAAGTTGCAAAGCAAAATCTCTTGCACTTTGCTGTGTGGTGCTTCATCTCTGACTGGCAAGGAACAGCCTGCCATGCACCAGCATGGAAAAACATGGTAAAGCCCTAAGTGGCAAATGGGAGTGGAAAGAAAAAACGAACATGATACCCAGCTGTAGCAGGGCTGGGGAGGCTGGGATCTGTGCAAAGCATATCTGGGGTGGTCCTTCTGATTGAACCTTGGAGTAGGATTCCCTTCCCCCATCCAATTTCATGTTTTATTTGGGTTTCTGTGCCTTTTCCTTATAATTAGGGGTCTCAGTAAGTGGAATTTGCCTGTAAACAGCTTGTTGTAGTTATGGGCTTTTCTTTTGTTCTTTTTATTTATTTATTGTTTTAAATGGAAGCATGAGTGACAGGCTGAGCAGCCGCAGAAGGACAATTTGCATGATCTGTTCCGTCAAATGGGGTAGAACACAAACTGAACAAGGGATGCTGGCAGCACATTCCTGGCTGAACTTGTCAAGGGGTCTTGTATTTCCCTGCTGTCAGAGCAAATCTTTTGGCTGATTGCTGGTCCTTGGTAAATGAAATCTGAAAGCACGTTGGGGCATTCTGCAGTTCAGTGACCATTAATGATCGCCATTTGAAGTTCACTAAACTTCCGGTGAATGGATAGCAGCTACATAACCAGCAGGTTGATGGCTTCAGAATAATAATAATAAAAAAAATAATCCTGTGTCCCATGGTGTTTGTTCAGCAGTAGGTTGTTCCATCTGTGCTCCTCCTCTGGGTCTATGGATGGATGACTTAGGGCTCTTTTCCATAGCTCAAGGCTCTAGGATTTAGCATAGCAGGGGCTGTGATGTGTTTTAATACAGAGGAGACAAGCTGCTGTTCTTCAAGACAAGTGTTCATGCACTGAGGTACAGCATAAACTCTGATAGTGAGCTGAAGACTGGTGAGCATTGGTGAAGCACCAAGCACAGGGCTGAAGGGCAGAGAGAAACATGGGAGTGCTCCCCTGCCAGCTGTCTGCAGAGGTTGCAAACTGAGAGTGTAGGATGGGACCCATGGGCTGGGGCTTGTGTCTGCTTGTTCCTGTGCAGGTGTGTTTGTTTTTATCAGAGAGTGTTTCCAGCCTGAATAAATAATTCTGTGCAAGCAGCAGAACCCAGCAGTCTCAGTTTCTTGTGACTGAGCTCCCAGCATGAGACAAATAAGGATGGACGGGTGACTCGCCCCCCTGCTCCTCCCTTCGAGCTCAGGCGGCCCCTTTTCTCCTCCCTCTGGCAAGTTCCTGACTTAGAAACACCTCCTAGGTTGAGTGTGCCTCTGACCTGAAGTGAAGATGTTGGGGGTGGTGTGAAACTGCTAATTTCTAGGTCATGGATAATGTGGAAACTTGGATCTTTCAGATGTTGAGAAAACGGTTCATCTGAGTGTAAATGGCATGCGTGACTGAAAGCAGCTTCCTGCAGAACAGTCCCACCTGCATCCTGTTGGCTTTTACTTGGGTCTCTGCTTGTGAGCGCTGATAATGAGAGAATTCCACTGAGTAGGGAGCTGCAAATCAGAATCCAGGGACATGTGCTGGGCAGGTGCGTGCATGAGGCAGACATAGTTTGTTCCTGTGTGTAGTGATGCAGCAATGAAATGTATTGTATGTTCCCTCTGCTCATGCACACAGGGCACACTTGTACTGCACCGGGAAACCTTTTGGGGCTGGTCTGGCCTTGCAGGTAATGCTGAGCTCCATCCTGCCTGCTGCCATGGTGTCTTGGATCTGAGCTAAAGCCTCCTGTGGGAGACAAAGGGAGAAAGTGCTCATGCACTTGACCGAGTTTGGAGAAGTTTTACCTTGCCCTGTGCCTCCCCCAGCCTGATAGCACATCCCTGCTGCCAAGCCTGATCGGTGTTTGCTGACATTTTTAATGTCACTGAGCGATCGTGTATCTCTAGTGAGCTGTCAGGGTAGAGCTGACTCGGGGCAGAGAGTTGATCATGTTCTTCCCTTCGATGAGCTGAGCACGGAGGGAGGGCTGCAGGAAGCAGAGCCATTCTGTGAATACCACAGCATTTTAGCTGTCCCCTTAAGCCATCTCACGTGAGAGCCACCATCCTGCCTGCATGTGTCCCTTGTGCACCTGTCACCTGGCTGCTACCCCACCGCCACCCTCAGGTAACAGGGATGGATTTGTGAATGCCTGCTGCTGCTGCACTGGCTCTTTTGGGAGCTGGTGTGGCTCATTGTGCCAGCTTCTGCTGCAGCCAGTGCTGTCAGTGCAGCTGCTGCTGTCGGTGCAACATGCAGATGTGGGTCAGGTCAGCCTGCTCTGGTTAGACCCAGCCATCACCTTCAGACTGGGACTGGTGGCTGTTCCTCACCCTGTGCCTGTTACCCACTGTGTTTGCTGCGTCTGCTGCCATTTGTTTCTTTTTCTGAATCTGCTGACGCTTTCAGTTTCTACAGCATCCTGCAGCAATGAGTTTTGCTATTTAATTATGCATTAATTATCCTCTGTTTATTCACATGTAGTGTGAAGGTGCATGTCCTTTCATTTCTTTTCAACTTTATCTTTTTTGTGAACCTCAGCCTAGCCTTCTGTGAAAGAGCAAAGAAGTGGTGCCAGTTTCTCTCCTACTGTTGACACGAGACCCCTGCCATAGTCTGCCTTAATGGTCTCTTTTGCAGCGCAGCACAACTTTTGGTGGGGAGCTGGCACAGAGGCACAGGCTGTTCCCTGACTCCAGAATTGGGTTGTGGGAGCTATTTTTAACACTCCGTGTAGTGTCGTCATCTTCCATTTCTTCTTTGGAGGTTATGTGGTTGTAAGAAAACTGAGGAGTATTTTATGTAACGTTTAAGGATTTGTTTTATTCTTTATTTTTCAAATACTTACTTGAAAAAAAAATAAAAATAAAAATAAAAAGGCAATCTTCATACTCATTGCAGAGCCAGAGCTGTCCCTTTCTCGGGACGGCCATCCAGGCACGTTTGACCATCTTTTATCTCCATTCACAAAGGTTCACATGTCTTTCGGTACACAAGTGGTGGTTACTTTAGAAAGTCTGTGCTGGGATAAGTACAGGGCTGGTGTTTTCCAGGCCCAGCTTTTAGTGATCTGTAGGTTTCTGTGATTTGGAAGCAAACAGCTAATATACATGGACAAATATTTTGTCATCTACTGGCTTTGTGAAATACAACAGAAGAAGGATGTAATAGGATGTTTTTGTTAATATTTGGCAACTGGAAGTAAACACATTCTAAACAAACAAAAAGCTGTTAGCAAGTCTTTGTCTCTTCTCTGAATTAACAATTCCTTGTGCCTTTGGATGGAAGGAGTTCTTAGGCACTTGGCGTTAGTGCCGTGGGTGCTTTGGATGAAGAACATTAAAATGGATGCAGTTAAGAAATAGTCTGTTTTTTGACATGTCTGAAAGCTACTTCCAAAAGTTTAACCTCTTGAGGGCTTAGTGTGGTGGCTATCAATTGCCTGTTGATTGAGTTACTAGCTATAGGGAATATAAAATGCCTAGTAAGGTCAGAAATGACAGAGAAGGACTTCTCAGGCAGCGTTTCACAGCTGAAGCATTAGTCACATGTAGTCAGGGTCCTGGTGCTTGAGACCCTGGCCTGCCTGCCTTCATGGGAGCTGTGCTCTCTTAGGCCCCCATCTCTTGGCTCTGGAGCTTCTTGCCCTGATAAATAGGTCTCTCAGAAGGCAGCAGTGTTAGATGTTGTGAAGGGAAGCAAAAGTAGAAACATAGCTCCAGTGGTAAGGGAAGTAAGGATGTCCTTTCTGTGAAAATTGGGAATGAAAAGTGTGCAATGGCATTGGTTCATAGCTGGAAGGGAATGGAAAGATTGCTTCTAACAGCAAAATATATTGCTCTGTATTTACTGAAAGGCAGAGGATGTTGTCTCAGTGAACAGGATGCTGTTACGATACAGTAAGTGGTTGCTTTAGGTTGGAATTTTGCATAGCTGGCTTACAAGAGCTTTCAGAGAGCTGGCTGAGAAGCTCTCGACTGTTCTTGTTGCTTTTAATAAGTCTTTGAACATGGGGGAAGTTCTAGAGGACTCGAAGAAAGCTAATGTTGTACCAGTAATTTAGAAGGGCAAATGGGATGACCGATGAAGTAATTATAGCCCTATCAGCTTGACATTAATTCTGGGCAAAGTAATGAAAAGCCAGATATCATAGATGATTAATAAAGAATGAAAAGAGGGTAATATAATGCCAATCAATGTGGATTTATGGAAACTAGATCTTTTTCAAACTAACTTGATATTTTTTTTATGAGACTGCATGTTTGGTTGATAAAGGTAACCATGTCAATGTAATATACTTCTGGAAGGCATTTGACTTGGTACCTTATGACATTTTGATGAAGAAACAAGAGTGATACAAAATCAACATGGCACACATTACATTGATTAAGAACGAGCGAACTGACAGCTCCTAGCATTTAATTGTAAATGGGTAATCATCATGGAGTTCTTGTCTTCCTAGTGGGGCCCCATAGGGATCTATTTCTCAG